GGCCATCGCTATTAGGTTGGAGGCCATCGCTACTGGGAGGCCATCACAAGTAGGTTGGAGTCCATCGCTATTAGGTTGGAGAGCAATTGCTATTAGGTTGGAGGCCATGGCTACTAGGTTGGAGGCCATCGCTATTAGGGGAGGCCATCGCTAGTAGATTGGAGGCAATCGCTATTCGCTAGTAGGTTGGAGGCCATCGCTAGTAGGTTGGTGGGAGTGTTTCCTCCGCTTGGCTTGATCAGAGGGAGTCGCGCTCGTTGAAGCGATGTGAGCTCTCTATCCAGATGAGGGTGGGGAACAGAGGAGAAGTTGCAGGATATATTAAATCCTGTTGAATCCAGAGCCCTAGTGACTCTGCCACCAGCAGAACCCCAGTTTCAGTGATTTGTTGCATTCATGTTGCACCAAGCAGCTACTGCGCATCGGCTTCATTTGCAGGTGGTTGGTTTAAACCTGGGCATTGCGGCCTCTTGGACATACCTGACCCGCGTATTCTTTGTGATTTATGTTCACACATCTCCTGCAGAAATTCTTTCCAGAGACTTTTGTTTGCTGGTTTTCGCTATGGGCTTGTACTCTTTTGATAGTCGCCCCATTTGTTTGATGACCCTTTCAATGTCATGTCACAAGCTTAGACTGCTAGCTGCTTTCGCTCGCTCTTTTTTCTGTCAATCAGGTCCCTAGCGTTCATTCGCTCCCGACTCGGGTTGACCTGAGGTGATGCTTTTGGGAAGCGTGGCCTTTATGATGGCTACCTTCTACATGGTGGGGACCGAGAGAGGGTCCCAAAAACAGGACATCCGTTGCAACCGCGGCTCCCAGAGGGTTAAAAAGCGATCTTCCTTATCCAGAAAGCTTGGAAGGTCGCACGCTCCGAAGAGATCTCAGTTTTGCAAAGGTCTATTGAAGGTCCTTATGTTTTCGCTGGAGATGAGCCCTCCAAAACATCGTGTTACCACGTGGCACCACCTTCCCCGAAGGCCTGACCTGGCAATTTCGACCAAACGATCCGCACGAGTTGGAAGCAGCTGTATGCACGACGTCCGCATGACATGGTTCGGGCGAAAATTATTTGAGTAGCAACTAGCTTACCCTTTGTTCCTAGTAGCTTCTTGCTCCTAGTAGTAAGGCCAGGAGCCCCTAATGGCGTCCTTGCTCCTAGCAGCGATGCCAGGAGCCCCGAGTAGCGTCCTTGCTCCTAGTAGTAATGCCAGGAGCTACTGGTAGCGTCCTTGCTACTAGTAGCGTTGCCCTTTGTTACTAGTACGCCTGCCATCACATAGTGTTGCCATTCATGCGCATGCCCATTCAGGTTTTGTTTTCTACAGAGGTGTTCATCCCCACAGAGTGGTCACGACAGCGGAGGTGAACCACTCCGACAAGGAGATGAGGATTATCACATGGAAGGCTCGACTTGACGCTTCAGACCAAGTTAAGTTGCTTTAAACATCTAGAAACCGAATGAATAGTGCAACGCTTTTCTTCAAGGAAGCTCCCCCCGGCCCTCAGGTTTGGGGAGCTCCTGCGTCCAGTAGCTAGGAACGAACAAGTTCCTAGTATACAGTATACATATATATATATATTTATAGCGAACTAGATAATTACTTACTCCCTTACTTAATTGAGCAGGTGACTACTTCATATAAGTTATATAAGTAGGAGGTCGTTTACAAAGAAAAGTTGGCGTCTCCAAGCTTCAAACCTCGAACTGGAGCTGAGTGGTGCTGCCGTTCTCAAAGGGTCAAAGAAGCCGGGAGGTCATTTGCGCTACTATTTCCATCTTCGTGTCGGTCCTCATCTACCAGGCAGGCTCTTGGACCAATGCTTGCCAAACAGGGAGCTGGAGCATCATTGATGCGCCCCTAAGATGCCCGTAAGATGTTGGCAGCTTGGTTTCAGACATCTACAGTACCAGGCAGAATGCAAACAACATGAAGAACGCCCCAAGAGTTTGCCTTATTCCAAAATGACAAGTTTTTTTTCCTGGGGCACCCTGTGCACACACCCGCACCATGTGCCTAGGCTTTCAACGACGCCATCCATGCCTTGTTTCTCTACGATAGCTCTGAGTTGGTGAAGATGCAGGCCACCTTTAGCTCAAGCTGGGCTTGTGAACTGTGACTGTGCGAGAGGAGTTGACTAGATGACTAGACCCACCCTGGCAAACCTCCCTTTTGTGACTGGAGTCCTGGTGTTCAACTTTTTGTATCCTAGCAGGCTTTCCAACACAGGATGCTCCTCGCAAGGGGGTACGGCACCCTGCTTGAACTCAAAGAAAGAGGGCCCCTTTGATGAAGCACCTTCTACAGGCACCTTCTATCTATAAAATGGACTAGAATGGGCCATCACCCTGGTGCCTGATTATAAGGTCAAGTCCCCGCAAGAACCTTTCCAGAGTGGATGGACAAAGGAGAGCGTTCCACCCTGCGGTGCCCCGAGCGCCTCCCGGCTTAGCCTGGGGTCGGCGTATATATATATATATATATATGCTACCCCCCCCCCCAAAAGTCCACATTTTTTCGGCTTGCACTAGTATTTACAGTGGTTTGATGATATTTTGGCATTCATTTTTTGGGGGTACATTTTGATGGTTTTTTTCTTTTTTTGTCTGGTCTGTTGAATTGCATGTCACCATATTGTGCATTGGGCGATAGGAATCTTGAGATAAGTTGTTCATTTGGGAACTAGCAGCCAGAGTTTTGCAAAAGTTTGGTATTTGGATTTAACCTTATGATTTTGGAGGTGCCAAGAAGATTCCAGAATGCCTCTTTGTTGAATGTTTCCCAGCAAGCAGAAGGGATATTGGAGATATAGTTGTTCATGTGGGGCCTAGCATGCCTTGAAGATGGGGGGAAGTTGCAGAAAGTTTTTTTGTTGAGTGATGCTGTGCGAAGATTTTCCAGCAACCTGGGATATGCATGGCAAGGGCCTTTTTGTTCAGCACAGATGCGGTCACGGCTGGGCAACAATTCCTGACATGTGGTCCTGCTCGAGATCCCCGGTGCATTTCCACATATCAGACCCACGGTACCAGTACTCGTACTGGGCCGCCCGGATTTTGAAATGCAAACGCTTCAGGCCTGCACGGGAGTGGGTGCCTTTACACACACGCTCCTTGATAAACTTCCAACACCGGTCAATGTGTTGAGTGCCTGTCTTTACTTTAATTTTCTTGCCTCCTGGCAATTTATGCGTCGCAACCTTGACAAACGTAGGCTTGGTCCAAAACCCACTTGCCACTTTTCTTGACGCGCTTTTTCTTATGTACAACGGGAATCTCAGAACTGGGCAAATCGTTTGAGACGCCCACGTACGCTGGTTGAGTTCCAAAAGAACTCAGAGCAGGATGATTTGATCTTAGCTGACATTCTAGCAATGTGTTTGGCACCTGAGAACAATGATAGGTTCGATTTTCGAGTACGGTGGTTCTCAGAGATTGCCAGATACGCTCTTGGCTATGTCACCCAAGAGGAAGAGGATGAATATGAGAAAAGAAGACAGTTCGTGGCAACAAGAGTCTCGTGGAGGAACAACGAATATGGAAAGATCAGCACGGGGCTCAACTATATGCTACGACACGATCGTTCTCTCGACAGATTGATGGACAGTAGGGCAATGGTAGAGCTTATGCCTCTGATTACAGAGGGAACTGCTCGTATGCCAAAACCCTTCACTATTCATCCTTTTGCATTCTTTGCTATATTGCATAGCGATGAGAAGCAAAGATTTCATTTGGTGATTCGCTTGGACAAGAATGTTTGGCACAACACAGGCAATCAATACGATATGCCCTTCTCCATGCGTTTGGGAGTGAACCAAGGGCATACAGGACTCTCATATAACATCAGTCCAGGGAAGTTGAATCATAGATTGACTTCTATTGAGGCAAGATGTTTGGGACATGTTTTTCATGTTACCAAGAAGGAGAACTGGGCCAGCATTGAAAGGTATGGTTTGATGAGAGATCATCAAAGTTGGAATAGAAGGAGTAGAGGTGAAGGAAGAGATTATGTTCATTTTATGTACAGCAATCCACAAACTTTGCCTTACATTCCTTTAGGTCCAGGTACAGTGGTTCCAAGGAACTATGATCAGCCTTTGTATGTGAAGCTTGACGTGATTAGTTGGCTTCAAGCAGGACGTCCTCTGTATTTCAGCAACAATGGAGTGGTGCTTGCGCATTGTGATGTAGAGCCCACATACTTGAACATTAGTGTGTATGAACCACGACCACAAGATGCTCCAGAGCCAGCTAAGGAGTTGAGAATCCCTCTGTCCGCAGAGGAGATGGTGGAGCAGGTCAACAGGGAGAAGAAGCAACAAGAAAATTTGCGATCCTTGTTCACAAGACTCTCACAGGACACGGCATTTGCATTGGAAGTTATCAGGAGGATTAATGCCAATGAGCCTGGGGTGGAACAAACCAAAAGGCATATGTCTCTTTGGTTAGATGAGCTGACCTTCAATGCCATTGCGAGATTTTTCAGCTCTGACAATCACCCTGCACGTGAGTACAATCGCTCACGATTGAGGTCACAGTCCTTATGCTTTCATCCTACATTGGGTGGCATTCGCAAAAACGCCATAACGAACCTGTAAAGCAGACAGACACCGGGCGTCCATCAAGGACCCATGGGTGTCATGGAGAAACATGGGACCATTCCCACATCACGAAAGTAATGCTTTCAGTAGTGGTAGATCTCCTTGAGGACCCAGTTCATGAGGGTGAAGTCAGAGAGGATGGCCATTGCGGCCATCCAGCTGGTCCATCTGAGATTCCGCGGCGTGCAACTTGTTGTGCATCATCGTTGCAGCCTCGGAGCTGGGCTTGGCGGGTGTGCTGACCAGTTTTCATTGGCCGCTCAACAAACAGACTTTGAAAGGGGTTTCCAAGCTCAAGACATGCTGCTATGTTTAAATCCAGCAGACCATTTCTTCGGGCAACAGCTGGATCTTCTCAGATCTTAATTTGGCAAGACCAAGGGTGTATGTGTCATGGCCATACCCGCTGGATCCGCCTGATCAAGTACCTAGGCTGGGCTCGGTGTTTTGTTTGGCACACATGTGGCACACATGGGCCACCTGAATCCACCTGATAGTTTTACGACAAGGGTTTGGCTGTTATTTATTTTTGCAAGGCCCATGTTTCAAGATATTGAATTATTTTATAGGTAGCAACTTGTCAAATACTTTGGCAGCAGCCTTGAGATGCCTTGAGTCCTATAGGTCCTAGCCTTCTTTGCGCTGCTCATACTAGCTTGACACCTGGCCGTTTGAATGCATCGCTGAATTGGCTGCAGCCATTTTATGCCATTTTGGCAGTGTCCGACGTGTCCCTTTTTCTTCCTGTCCATCCACAATGGCTGTTGCATTTAGCTTGCGCAGTCGGCCAGCCATCAGCGAATGGTCCGTCGATGAGGCCATGTGAGTAGAGAAGATTGCATTTACACGACCTATCAGTGATCAGAAAAGAACCTCTATAGTCAGTCCTCCAAAAAGGAGAGCCAATGTTCTGCCAGACATTCATCATGCAGTCAGGCAGTGATGTAGTAGTACTTAGTAAACCTGACAAAGTGTTCAAAGGCATCATCAGCACATTCCAACCATGTCTAACGACCGATCCCATCACATACAACAATTTATATAACAAAGGACACCATGTATTTTCCTTGAATTTAAGTTGCCCCATCCATGCAATTCACCGCGCTGCAGGGGTGAACCCAAAAGCCGGTGGGACCTCGCTTTTTGTTTCTCAAAAAGATCTAGGAACCAAATCATTAGTGCGAGCGCTTCTCCAAGGAAGCTCCCCCCTGCCCTCTGGCGGGGAGCTTCCTTGAAGAAGCGTGAGCATTCCTGCCCCCATACGAAGTAGCTATAGTTTTTCCAATGTTTTTCCTCTCGGTGTCCGACGGCCGCTCGACCCTCTGATCGAAGGTCTTGGGCTTCCTTGAGACCTTGGGCCTCGAGGGCTCGGTGCGTGAGACGTTTCGCGCCGAGTCGGTGGATGGGCGGACCTTGTGCGAGATCACGGATGAACAGCTCTCAGGACCGAGTGAAACGGAAAAACGCGGAACTGGTAACCTGGTAGGGGGGTTGAAGTGGAAAGGGGGTGTCAAGGGGATAGATAGGGAGTAGACTGCTACAGGATGATGTATGGATGGGATAAGGGTGGATGGCAACAGATCACGAAAGGTAGCGGTTACGCTACCTGAGTTTTCCTTTTGCTTTAGCAAAAATGTATTAACCCAGAGCTGCAGCCTATCTCTCGGAGAAATGGTCCCCGACATCTTCGTTTGTTGGTTGGGGGGGGGGGTGAAAGAGTGACTAGGGCGTACGCGGTTGAGGTGCAGACCGCTAGTGTCTTTTTCTACGCAGAGTCTTATCCTCTTGAGCCTTATGGCAGTCAAGCATGGACACACTAGATAGGCCACTGGAGTGGAACCTGTACAAGTAGGCCTCTACATTTCAGCAGGCACAAAATTCATGTCCACTCCAGCCTATTGCGTATGTCGCACACTATTTTTCCACCGTAAGGCTAAAACAGTCCAGCAAGCTCTAGTAAGCTTAAAAAGGAAACTACGGTGCCCTGTACTTACCAATTCCAGTGTGTGGCACACTATAGAAAAGGTAATCTCAAGGTATACTAGATACAGTGAGGGAGCGATAGCTTACTCACCTCAAATACAAAGTCAAAGACAATGTATCTCGGCTGGAGACTGTATCGTTCACCAGCGAAGATACCAGTACCGGCGCTCAATAGCCCTTAAATAGCCAGAGCTGTCAATCTTTCAGAAAATTCTAAATTCTAAAGGAAAGCGGCTTCTTTTGCACAGAGACCTATAAAAGCAGTAAACGACACCCGCGTAACGAAAGAACTAAAATTCAAGACCGCGCAAAATGCAATGAATTAAGATGCCTTGCAAAATGCAAGGAGCGTAAATAATTCGGTCCGAGGAATGGTCTTCTCGAAAAGTGGTCTCGGCCGCTTCCATACACAGGACTTATACCAAAAATTTGAACTGCATCAAAAGGACTCTCTCTCATCGACACCAAAAATCAGCCAAAAAACAAAAAGGAAGGAGATA